CCATCCATCCATGCATCCATCCATCCATCATCCATCCATACATGCATCCATCATCCATCCATCCATAATCCATCCATCCATCCATCCATCCATCCATCCATCCATTGATCCATCCATCCATGCATTCATCCATCCATCCATCCATGCATCCATCCATCATCCATCCATCCATCCATCCACCATCCATGCATCCATCCATGTATTCATCCATCCATCCATCATCCATCCATCCATCCATCCATGCATCCATCCATCCATCCATTTATCCATCCATCATCCATCCATCCATCCATCATCCATCCATCCATGCATCCAACCATCCATTTATCCATCCATCTATCCATCCATCCATCCATCCATCATCCATCCATCATCCATCCATTTATCCATCCATCCATCCATGCATCCATCCATTCATCTTTGAGTTATTTTTTGTTGATAGAATCTTGCAGCTTAATCTGTAAAATAATGACACTTTTTAGGAAATAACAGTGGGCTAGAGAGGGCAGAAATTTCTCAAACATGAAGGAAACCTGTATAAAACTGCAGGTTTAGATGTAACCTTTTGTTTCTAAAAACATAAAAAGAAAAAATCTGCACCATGTCAGGGTTACTGAGCTGATCGCCCACGAACTTTATGTTCCAGCGTTTTGATTTAAGGCCCGACGTTGTAAAAAACTGTCGACGAAAACTGAAATAGAAAGGCAGAGAAGTWACAAAGAGTGATTGTTTCTGTGTGAAGACAACGGAGACAAACCTGGATTATTGAGTAAATCCAAATGAGTTTTGAAACAAGCAATGGTGCCAACAGTTATCTGACTGTGTTTTGTCTCTGTTTTTATTATTATAATACCCAAACTGTCCCGAGGCAGTCTGCGTTTATCTTAGTCTGATGCCAGTCAGAAATCCTGGAATTCAAGGAGCTTTTTGGATCTCCTGATCTGCTTACATTACCACATACTCTATTTTCTGCATCGCACAATCTCCAATAAATCAAACAGCCGTGAAGTTTAGACGGAGTAAATCATTTGCCCGGGCCCGAGTGAGCCGAGKTGCTCATTAGTTTTACTGCGGAGAAGCTGAAGCAACAAATTCTCCGCTGATCTGGTCGCGTTTGCGGGATCTGAAAACAAACGAGAAGCAGACTGTTTGTTCAAAGAGCTAACGCCGCTAAAAGGGTCTTTCTGCAGAATTAGTTTAAAACCTCCAACAGGTGGTTTTGATAAATCACACCCGGTACAGAAAACAATCCAAAAGATTTAGGACACAAAACAGACAAGAAAAAAAAACTAAACAGAAACTTACTGCTCTGAGTTTCTGCTTCTGTAAAATCCCATAAAGGTTGACGCTGATGGCTTTATTTTCTCAGCCCCTCCTGTGTTTGTCATTGCAGAATGAACAGAAAGATGCTGAGGCTGCACATTGTAAATGCTTCACTGATGTTGAGGAATGTGCAGGGGGTCTGCTCGCACCGAAGCAGGTATGTCGTCCAGTCTAAGAACAGAAAACAACAGTTTTGGCCCAAATTCTAAAGATTTGCCATAAAGCTATGAACCACTGGGAAGCAACCATCAACACCACCAGGCTTTAGATAAGGGCACTTTGGTTTTGTGATACCCTCTTTGGGTTTTGCGATACCCTCTTTGGGTTTACGATAACCTCTTTGGGTTTTGCGATACCCTGTTTGGGTTTTATGATAACCTCTTCGGGTTTTACGATACCCTCTTTGAGTTTTGCGATACCCTCTTTGGGTTTTGCGATACCCTCTTTGGGTTTTATGATGCCCTCTTTGGGTTTTACGATAACCTCTTTGGGTTTTGCGATACCCTCTTTGAGTTTTGCGATACCCTCTTTGGGTTTTGCGATACCCTCTTTGGGTTTTATGATGCCCTCTTT